GTCCCACAGGGGATTTGAGGGGATTTGGGGATTTAGGGAGTAAATCCTCCTCAGGGTGTCACAAACCCACCCCACATTCATGCCCTGCATTCAGCTCTCGAGGGCAGGATGGTCTCGGTGGGTTTGGGGGTTTGGGGTCTCAGAGGGGATTTGGGGAGATTTGAGGGGCAAATCCTTGCTGGTGTTCAAACCACCCCTAAACCACTCCCAAACCCGCCCCATTCATGCCCCCTCCGAGGGAGGATGGTCTCGTGAGTTTGGGGTCATTTGGGGGTCCCAGAGGAGATTTAGGGGAATTTGGGGTCCCAGAGGGGATTTGGGGGAGGTTTTTGGGGGTAATCCTCCTCAGGGCCTCACAACCCACCCCAAACCCAATTCTACATTCATGCCCCTCCGAGGGCAGGATGGTCTCGGTGAGTACGGGGATTTGGGGGTCCCAGAGGGATTTGGGGTCCCACAGGGATTTGGGGAGGTTTTTGGGGGTAAACCTCCTCAGGGTGCTCACAGAACCCACCTCAAACCCACCCCACATTCATGCCCTCTGAGGGCAGGATGGTCTCAGTGGGTCTGGGGGTCCCACAGGATTTGGGGGTCCCACAGGGGATTTGGGGGGGATTTGGGGGTCTCATCAGGGATTTGGGGGATTTGGGGGTAAATCCTCCTCAAGGTGTCATTAAACTCCACCCCAAACCCACCCTCATCTATCCATGCTCCGAGGGCAGGGTGGTCTCGTGGATAGTGAGGTCATTTGGGGTCCTAACAGGATCTGGGGAGATTTGGGGTCTCACAGGGATTTGGGGAGGTTTTGGGGGGGTAAATCCTCCTCAGGGCATCACAAACCCACCCCAAACCCACCCACCTGGGCACCTTCCACGGGCAGGGGTGGGCTCAGGGCTCTGGGGTTTGGGTGACCCCAGGGGTTTGGGGTGCCCTGACCCCGATTTTGGGGTGCCTAGAACATCAGGGGGGGTTTTAGGGTGCCCTGACCCCTATTTTTGTGCCCCCCAGGACATCGGGGCAGGGTGGCAGAGGCTGGAGCAGGCAGAGAAGGGGCACGAGGAGCGGGTCAGCCCTGTCTCTGCCTGGGGGCTCTGGGTGTGTCTGGGGGCTCTGGGTGTGTCTGGGGGTTTTGGGGTGCCCTGATCCTGGTTTTTGTGCCCCCCAGGACATCGGGGCAGGCTGGCAGAGGCTGGAGCAGGCAGAGAAGGGGCACGAGGAGCGGGCTCAGCTCTGCCTGGGGGTCTGGGGGCTCTGGGGGTTTAGGGTACCCTGACCCTCATTTTTGTGCCCCCAGGACATCGGAGCAGGGTGGTAGAGGCTGGAGCAGGCAGAGAAGGGGCACGAGGAGTGGGGTCAGCTCTGCCTGGGGGCTCTGGGGGCTCTGGGGGTTTTGGGGTGCCCTGATCTCCATTTTTGGGGTGCCCAGGACATCGGGGCAGGCTGGCAGAGACTGGAGCAGGCAGAGAAGGGGCACGAGGAGCGGGTCAGCTCTGCCTGGGGGCTCTGGGGGCTCTGGGGCTTTGGGGTGCCCTGACCCAGTTTTTGTGCCCCCAGGACATCGGGGCAGGCTGGCAGAGGCTGGAGCAGGCGGAGAAGGGGCACGAGGAGTGGGGTCAGCTCTGCCTGGGGGCTCTGGGGTTTTGGGGTTTTGGGGTGACCCCAGGGGTTTTGGGGTGCCTGACCCTCATTTTTGTGCCCCCAGGACATCGGGGCAGGGTGGCAGAGGCTGGAGCAGGCAGAGAAGGGGCACAAGGAGGGGGTCAGCTCTGCCTGGGGGCTCTGGGGGCTCTGGGTGTGTCTGGGGTTTTGGGGGTGCCCTGATCCCAGTTTTTGTGCCCCCAGGACATCGGGGCAGGCTGGCAGAGGCTGGAGCAGGCGGAGAAGGGGCACGGGAGCGGGTCACCTCTGCCTGGGGCGGGTCAGCTCTGCCTGGGGGGCTCTGGGGGCTCTGGGGCTTTGGGGTGCCCTGATCCCAGTTTTTGTGCCCCCCAGGACATCGGGGCAGGCTGGCAGAGGCTGGAGCAGGCAGAGAAGGGGCACGAGGAGTGGGGTCAGCTCTGCCTGGGGGGGGTCTGGGGGGGCTCTGGGTGTGTCTGGGGGTTTTGGGGTGACCCCAGGGGGTTTTGGGGTGCCCTGACCCCCATTTTTGTGCCCCCCAGGACATCGGGGCAGGCTGGCAGAGGCTGGAGCAGGCAGAGAAGGGGCACGAGGAGCGGGGTCAGCTCTGTCTGGGGGGGCTCTGGGTGTGTCAGGGGGGGCTCTGGGGGTTTTGGGGTGACCCCAGGGGGTTTTGGGGGGCCCTGACCCCCATTTTTGTGCCCCCCAGGACATCGGGGCGGGCTGGCAGAGGCTGGAGCAGGCAGAGAAGGGGCACGAGGAGTGGCTCCTGACGGAGCTGCGGCGCCTCGAGCGCCTCGACCACCTGGCCGAGAATTCGGCAGAAAGCCTCGATCCACGAGGGATGGACCGAAGGTACCGGGCAGGGGCATGGGGGCACAGGGGGTCCAGGGGGCCTCAGGGGGCTCAGGGGCTGGCACGGGGGCCCAGGGGGTTCAGGTGGCTCAGGGGGCCCAGGGGCCTCAGGGGTGGCACAGAGGGCTCAGGGGGTTCAGGGGCCCAGGTGGCCCAGGGTCCGGGGGTCTAGGGGGCCTAGGGGGCCAGGGTGGCACAGGGGCTCTAGCAGGGGCTCAGGTGGCACAGGGGCCTGGCAGCCCAGGGGCTCAGGGGTGGCACAGGGGGCCTCAGGGGGCGGCTCAGGGGGCCCAGGGGCTCAGGGGGGTGGCACAGGGGCACAGGGGTGGCACAGGGGCCCAGGGGGCTAGGGTCTAGGGGGCACAGGGGCCTAGGGGCCCAGGGGGTTGCCCAGGGCCAGGGCTCAGGGGGCCCAAGGGGCCTAGGGGCCCAGGGGGCCTAGGGCCCAGGGTTCAGGGGCCCAGGGGGTTCAGGGGCCCAGGCTGGCACAGGGGCCCAGGGGTGCAATAGGGGCCCAGTGCCCAGGCCCAGGGGTTCAGGGGCCTCAGGGCTGGCACAGGGGCCCGGGGGTTCAGGGGCCTAGGGGCCCAGGGGGCACAGGGGCTCGGGGGCCTCAGGGGTGGCAACAGGGGCCCAGGGGGCACAGGGTCCCAGGGGGTTCAGGGGTGGCACAGGGGTTTTTGGGGGCCCAGGGGCTCAGGGTCTCAGGTAGCCCCCACCCTGTGCCCAGGGAAGGAGGTGGCACAGGGGGCTCAGGGGTGGCACAGGGGTGGCACAGGGGGCTCAGGTGGAGCCCAGGGGCCCAGGGGTCTCAGGGGGTTCAGGGGTGGCACAGGGTTTTTGGGGGCCCAGGGGTGGCACAGGGGTCTCAGGTACCCCCAATCTGTGCCCAGGGAAGGAGGTGGCACAGGGGGCTCAGGGGGCTCAGGGGTTCAGGGGTGGCTCAGGGGGTTCAGGGGTGGCTCAGGGGGTTCAGGGGTCTCCAGGTGCCCCCAATCTGTGCCCAGGGAAGGAGGCTGCCCTCAGGGACCGGGACTACGGCTCGGGCCTCCCTGGCCCAGGTGGCACAGGGGTTCAGGGGGCTCAGGGGCCCAGGGGGCTCAGGGGCTCAGGGGCCCAGGGGGCTCAGGGGTCTCAGGGGGCCTCAGGGGGCCCAGGGGGTTCAGGGGGCCTCAAGGGGCTCAGGGGTGGCACAGGGGGAACGGGGGAACTCAGGTGTGGCACAGGGGGCCCAGGGGGCTCAGGAGTGGCTCAGGGGGCTCAGGGTGGCCCAGGGGGCTCAGGGGGTTCAGGGGTGGCACAGGGGGCTTCAGGGTCTCAGGTACTCCCCAATCTGTGCCCAGGGAAGGAGGTGGCACAGGGGGTTCAGGGGTGGCTCAGGGGTTCAGGGTCTCAGGTACCCCCAATCTGTGCCCAGGGAAGGAGGCTGCCCTCAGGACCGGGACTACGGCTCGGCCTCCCTGGCCCAGGTGGCACAGGGGGCTCAGGGGGCTCAGGGCTGGCACAGGGGGCACAGGGGGTTCAGGGGGACTCAGGGGGTTCAGGGGGTTCAGGGGGCTCAGGGGGCACAGGGGGTTCAGGGGTGGCTCAGGGGGTTCAGGGGTGGCTCAGGGGTTCAGGGTCTCAGGTACCCCCAATCTGTGCCCAGGGAAGGAAGTTGCCCTCAGGGACCGGGACTACGGCTCGGCCTCCCTGGCCCAGGTGGCACAGGGGGTTCAGGGGGCTCAGGGGTTCAGGGGGCTCAGGGGTTCAGGGGTGGCTCAGGGGGTTCAGGGTCTCAGGTACCCCCAATCTGTGCCCAGGGAAGGAGATTGCCCTCAGGGACCGGGACTACGGCTCGGCCTCCTGGCCCAGGTGGCACAGGGGGTTCAGGGGGCTCAGGGGTTCAGGGGGCTCAGGGGGCTCAGGGGGTTCAGGGGGCTCAGGGGTCTCAGGTACCCCCCAATCTGTGCCCAGGGAAGGAGGTTGCCCTCAGGGACCGGGACTACGGCTCGGCCTCCCTGGCCCAGGTGGCACAGGGGGTTCAGGGGGCTCAGGGGGTTCAGGGGCTCAGGGGGCTCAGGGGGTTCAGGGGGCTCAGGGGTCTCAGGTACCCCCAATCTGTGCCCAGGGAAGGAGGTTGCCCTCAGGGACCGGGACTACGGGCCCGGCCTCCTGGCCCAGGTGGCACAGGGGGTCTCAGGGGGTAGCATGGGGGCTCAGGGGGTTCAGGGGGTGGCACAGGGGGGTTCAGGGGTCTCAGGTACCCCCCAATCTGTGCCCAGGGAAGGAGGTGGCCCTCAGGGACCGGGACTACGGCTCGGCCTCCCTGGCCCAGGTTCGGGCCCTGCTCCGCAAACACGAGGCCTTCGAGTCCGACCTGGCCGCGCACCAGGACAGGGTGGAGCAGATTGCAGCCATTGCCCAGGAACTCAAGTATGGGAGACCCCAAAACCCCCCTAAATAACCCCAAAATAACCCCAAAACACCCCCCCAACTGATCACAGCCATTGCCCAGGAACTCAAGTATGGGAGACCCTAAAATAATCCTAAATAACCCCTAAATACCCCCAAAATACCCCCAAATCACCCCCCAGCAGATTGCAGCCATTGCCCAGGAACTCAAGTATGGGAGACCCCAAAATAACCCTAAATACCCCCAAAATACCCCCAAATCACCCCTGAGCAGATTGCAGCCATTGCCCAGGAACTCAAGTATGGGAGACCCCAAAATAACCCTAAACCACCCCAAAATAACCCCAAAATACCCCCAAAATAACCCCAAATCACCCCTGAGCAGATTGCAGCCATTGCCCAGGAACTCAAGTATGGGAGACCCTAAAACCCCCCTAAATAACCCCAAAATACCCCCTGAGCAGATTGCGGCCATTGCCCAGGAACTCAAGTATGGGAGACCCTAAAATAATCCTAAATAACCCCAAAACAACCCCAAAATCACCCCTGAGCAGATTGCGGCCATTGCCCAGGAACTCAAGTATGGGAGACCCCAAAATAACCCCAAAATAACCCCAAAATAACCCCAAAATACCCCCAAATCACCCCCCAGCAGATTGCAGCCATTGCCCAGGAACTCAAGTATGAGAGACCCCAAAACTCCCCAGAATAACCCCAAAATAACCCCAAAATACCCCCAAAATAACCCCAAATCACCCCCCAGCTGATTGCAGCCATTGCCCAGGAACTCAAGTATGGGAGACCCCAAAATAACCCTAAATACCCCCAAAATAACCCCAAAATACCCCCAAATCACCCCCAAATCACCCCCAAATCACCCCGAGCAGATCACAGCCATTGCCCAGGAGCTCAAGTATGAGAGACCCCAAAACCCCCCAAAATAACCCTAAATAACCCCAAAATAACCCCAAAATAACCCCAAAATACCCCCTGAGCAGATTGCAGCCATTGCCCAGGAACTCAAGTATGAGAGACCCTAAAATAACCCTAAATAACCCCAAAATACCCCTGAGCAGATTGCAGCCATTGCCCAGGAACTCAAGTATGGGAGACCCCAAAATAATCCTAAACCACCCCAAAATAACCCCAAAATAACCCCAAAATACCCCCAAATCACCCCTGAGCAGATTGCAGCCATTGCCCAGGAACTCAAGTATGGGAGACCCCAAAATAACCCTAAATAACCCCTAAATACCCCCAAATCACCCCTGAGCAGATTGCAGCCATTGCCCAGGACCTCAAGTATGGAAGACCCCAAAACAACCCTAAATAACCCCAAAATACCCCCAAAATAACCCCAAAATACCCCCCCAACTGATTGCAGCTATTGCCCAGGAGCCCAAGTATGGGAGACCCTAAAACCCCCAAAATACCCCCAAAATAACCCCAATTCCCCCCCCCCGAGCAGGTGGCAGCCACCACCCCATAACTGAGCCATAAATCACCCCCAAATCCCCCCCAAATCCCCCCCATTTTCCCCCATTTTCCCCCCCATTTCCCCCCAGCGAGCTGGATTACTACGACTCCCCGAGCGTGAACGGGCGCTGCCAGCGCATCTGCGACCAGTGGGACCTGCTGGGCTCCCTCACCCACAGCCGCAGGGACGCCCTGGAGGTGAGAGAAGGACCCCAAAGAGGGAGGGGAGCCCCTTTCCCAGGGCAGATCCCGAATTTTCCCCCTGGGTGTCCCCCAGAAAACGGAGAAGCAGCTGGAGACGATCGACGAGCTGCACCTCGAGTACGCCAAGCGCGCCGCGCCCTTCAACAACTGGATGGAGAGCGCCATGGAGGACCTGCAGGACATGTTCATCGTGCACACCATCGAGGAGATACAGGTGGGGCCACCCCAAAAAAATGGCCCCAAAAACGGCCCCAAAAAACACCCAAAGTGACCCGAAAATGGCCCCAAAAAAACCCCCCTTCCCGAGTGTTTTTGGGCCGTTCTGCGGGTTCATCGTGCACACCATCGAGGAGATACAGGTGGGGGAAGCCCCAAAAAAATGGCCCTAAAAAATGGCCCCAAAAAACACCCAAAGTGACCCGAAAATGGCCCCAAAAAAACCCCCCTTCCCGAGTGTTTTTGGGCCGTTCTGTGGGTTCATCGTGCACACCATTGAGGAGATACAGGTGGGGGAAACCCCAAAAAATGACCCCAAAAAATGACACCCAAAATGACCCAAAAACACCCAAAGCGGCCCCAAAAAATGACACCCGAAATGACCCAAAAATGGCCAAAGCGGCATCAAAAAACCCCCCTTCCCGAGCGTTTTCGGGCCCTTCTCCGGGTTCATCGTGCACACCATCGAGGAGATCCAGGTGGGGGTCACCCCAAAAAAACGGCCCCAAAAAAACGGCCCCAAAAAACGACACCCGAAATGACCCAAAAATGGCCAAAGCGGCATCAAAAAACGCCCCTTCCCGAGCGTTTTTGGACTGTTCTGCGGGTTCATCGTGCACACCATCGAGGAGATCCAGGTGGGGGCAGCCCCAAAAAGGGCCCCAAAAAATGACCCCAAAAAACACCTAAAGCAGCCCCAAAAAACACCTGAAATGACCCAAAAATGGCCAAAGGGGCCCCAGAAAATGCCCCTTCCCGAGCGTTTTTGGGCTGTTCTGCGGGTTCATCGTGCACACCATCGAGGAGATACAGGTGGGGGTCACCTCAAAAAAATGACCCTAAAAATGACATCCGAAATGACCCAAAAACACCCAAAGCGGCTCCCAAAAAACGACACCCGAAATGACCCAAAAATGGCCAAAGCGGCCCCAAAAAACCCCCGTTCCTGAGTGTTTTTGGGCTGTTCTGTGGGTTCATCGTGCACACCATCGAGGAGATACAGGTGGGGGTGACCCCAAAAAACGGCCCTAAAAACGGCCCCAAAAAAATGGCCCCAAAAAACGACATCCCAACCCTTGTCCATGCTGTTTCCCGGTGCTGATCCCACTCCCTGTCCATCCCAACCCCTGTCCATGCTGTTTCCTGGTGCTGATCCCACTCCCTGTCCATCCCAACCTGTGTCCATCCCAACCCCTGTCCATCCCAGTCCCTGCCCATGCTGTTTCCCGGTGCTGATCCCAATCCCTGTCCATCCCAACCCCTGTCCATCCCGCTCCCTGTCCATCCCACTCCCTGTCCATCCCACTCCCTGTCCATCCCAGTCCCTGTCTGTGCCGTTTCCCGGTGCTGATCCCAGTCCCTGTCCATCCCAATCCCTGTCCATCCCAGTCCATGTCCATCCCGATCCCTGTCCATCCCAGTCCCTGTCCATCCCGCTCCCTGTCCATCCCAACCCCTGTCCGTGCTGTTTCCCGGTGCTGATCCCAATCCTTGTCCATCTCTACCCTTGCCCATCTCGCTTCCTGTCCATCTCAATTCCTGTCTATCCCGCTTCCCTGTCCATCTCAGTCCCTGTCCATCCCTAGTCCCTTTCCATGCCGCTTCTCGGTGCTGATCCCGCTCCCTTGTCCATCCCTACTTCCCTGTCCATCTCACTCCCTGTCCATCCCAGTCCGTGTCCATGCTGGCTCTCGGTGTTGATTCCCAGTCCCTGTCCATCCTATCCCTGTCCATCTCTAGTCTCATGTCTCATCTCTGCCTCTGTCCATCTCCAGTCCCTGTCCATCCTCTGCCTTGTCCATCCCTAGACCCCTGTCCGTGCTGCTTCTCGGTGCTGATCCCAACCCTTGTCCATCCCAATCCCTATCCATCCCTAGTCCTTGTCCATCCCAATCCGTGTCCATCCCAACCCCTGTCCATCCCAATCCCTGTCCATCCCAATCCTTGTCCATCCCAATCCCTGTCCATCCCAGTCCTTGTCCATCCCAATCCGTGTCCATCCCAACCCCTGTCCATCCCAATCCCTCTCCATGCTGTTTCCCGGTGCTGATCCCACTCCCTGTCCATCCCAATCCCTGTCCATCCCAATCCCTGTCCATCCCAACCCCCTCTCCATGCCGTTTCTGGTGCTGATCTCTGCTCCTGTCCATCCCTAATCCCTGTCCATCCCACTCCCTGTCCATCCCAGTCCCTGTCCATCCCAGTCCCTGTCTGTGCCGTTTCCCGGTGCTGATCCCAATCCCTGTCCATCCCAATCCGTGTCCATCCCAGTCCCTCTCCATCCCAATCCCTGCCCATGCTGTTTCCTGGTGCTGATCCCAATCCCTGTCCATCCCAGTCCCTGTCCATCCCAACCCCTCTCCATGCCGCTCCCTGTCCATCCCAGTCCCTGTCCATGCCGTTTCCCGGTGCTGATCCCACTCCCTGTCCATCCCAACCCCTGTCCGTGCTGTTTCCCGGTGCTGATCCCAACCTGTGTCCATCCCAACCCCTCTCCATGCTGCTCCCTGTCCATCCCAATCCGTGTCCATCCCAATCCCTGTCCATCCCAACCCCTCTCCATGCCTCTCCCTGTCCATCCCAACCCCTGTCCATGCCGTTTCCCGGTTCTGATCCCACTCTCTGTCCATCCCAGTCCCTGTCCATCCCAATTCCTGTCCATCCCAGTCCGTGTCCGTGCCGTTTCCCGGTTCTGATCCCACTCTCTGTCCATCCCAGTCCCTGTCCATCCCACTCCCTGTCCATCCCAATCCCTGTCCATCCCAACCCCTCTCCATGCCGGTTCCCGGTGCTGATCCCGCTCCCTGTCCATCCCAATCCCTGTCCATCCCACTCCCTGTCCATCCCACTCCCTGTCCATCCCAGTCCCTGTCCATCCCAATCCCTGTCCATCCCACTCCCTGTCCATCCCAGTCCCTGTCCATCCCAATCCCTGTCCATCCCACTCCCTGTCCATCCCAGCCCCTGTCCATGCCGTTTCCCGGTGCTGATCCCGATCCCTGCCCCCCCAGGGCCTCTCCATGCTGTTTCCCGGTTCTGATCCCACTCCCTGTCCATCCCAGTCCCTGTCCATGCTGTTTCCCAGTGCTGATCCCGCTCCCTGTCCATCCCGCTCCCTGTCCATCCCACTCCCTGTCCATGCTGTTTCCCAGTGCTGATCCCGCTCCCTGTCCATCCCGCTCCCTGTCCATCCCACTCCCTGTCCATGCTGTTTCCCAGTGCTGATCCCGCTCCCTGTCCATCCCGCTCCCTGTCCATCCCACTCCCTGTCCATCCCAGTCCCTCTCCATGCTGTTTCCTGGTTCTGATCCCAATCCCTGTCCATGCCTCTCCCTGTCCATCCCAACCCCTCTCCATGCCGTTTCCCGGTTCTGATCCCGCTCCCTGTCCATCCCAGTCCCTGTCCATCCCAATCCCTGTCCATCCCAGTCCGTGTCCGTGCCGTTTCCCGGTGCTGATCCCGCTCCCTGTCCATCCCAGTCCCTCTCCATGCCATTTCCCGGTGCTGATCCCGCTCCCTGTCCATCCCAATCCCTGTCCATCCCAACCCCTCTCCATGCTGCTCCCTGTCCATCCCAATCCCTGTCCATCCCAATCCCTGTCCATCCCGCTCCCTGTCCATCCCAGTCCCTGTCCATCCCAGTCCGTGTCCATGCCGTTTCCCGGTGCTGATCCCGCTCCCTGCCCCCCCAGGGCCTCTCCATGCCGTTTCCCGGTGCTGATCCCAATCCCTGTCCATCCCAATCCCTGTCCATCCCAATCCCTGTCCATCCCAATCCCTGTCCGTGCTGTTTCCTGGTGCTGATCCCAATCCCTGTCCATCCCAACCCCTCTCCATGCCTCTCCCTGTCCATCCCAGTCCCTGTCCGTGCCATTTCCCGGTTCTGATCCCGCTCCCTTCCCCCCCAGGGCCTGATCTCCGCCCACGACCAGTTCAAGTCGACGCTGCCGGAGGCGGACAAGGAGCGGGAGGCGATCCTGGCCATCCAGCGGGAAGCGCAGCGGGCGGCCGAGCTGCACGGGATCCTCCTGCCCCCAGGGAACCCCTACACCTCTGTCACCCCTCAGGTCATCAACGCCAAGTGGGAGAGGGTATGGATCCTGGGAATACCTGGGAATGGGATGGGATGGGATCCTGGGAATGGGGATCTGCACGGGATCCTCCTGCCCCCAGGGAACCCCTACACCTCTGTCACCCCTCAGGTCATCAATGCCAAGTGGGAGAGGGTATGGATCCTGGGAATACCCGGGAATGGGGATGGGATGGGATCCTGGGAATGGGATGGGATCCTGGGGATCTGCACGGGATCCTCCTGCCCCCTGGGAACCCCTACACCTCTGTCACCCCTCAGGTCATCAATGCCAAGTGGGAGAGGGTATGGATCCTGGGAATGGGATGGGATCCTGGGAATGGGATCCTGGGAATGGGATGGGATCCTGGGAATGGGATGGGATCCTGGGAATGGGATCCTGGGAATCCCCCAGGATGGGATGGGGATCTGCACGGGATCCTCCTGCCCCCAGGGAACCCCTACACCTCTGTGACCCCTCAGGTCATCAATGCCAAGTGGGAGAGGGTATGGATCCTGGGAATACCTGGGAATGGGATCCTGGGGATGGGGATGGGATCCTGGGAATGGGATGGGATGGGATCCTGGGAATGGGATGGGATCCTGGGGATCTGCACGGGATCCTCCTGCCCCCTGGGAACCCCTACACCTCTGTCACCCCTCAGGTCATCAATGCCAAGTGGGAGAGGGTATGGATCCTGGGGATACCTGGGAATGGGATGGGATCCTGGGGATCTGCACGGGATCCTCCTGCCCCCTGGGAACCCCTACACATCAGTGACCCCTCAGGTCATCAATGCCAAGTGGGAGAGGGTATGGATCCTGGGAATGGGATCCTGGGGACACCCCGGGGGGTTTCTTTTCCCTCTTTCCCATGGATTTTCTCCCTGTTTTTTTCCCAATTTCCCATGGATTTTCCCCCTGTTTTTTTCCCATTTTTCTGTGGATTTTCCCCCTGTTTTTTTCCCCTCCTTCCCAAGGATTTTCCCCTTGTTGTTTTCCCTCTTTCCCGTGGTTTCTCCCCCTGTTTTTTTTCCCACTTTCCCATGGATTTTCCCCCCATTTTTTCCCAGTTTCCTGTGAATCTTCCACCTGATTTTTCCTCTTTCCCTGGATTTCCCCCCTGTTTTTTCCCCTCTTTCCCATGGATTTTCCCCCTGTTTTTTTCCATCTTTCCCATGGATTTTCCCCCTGTTTTTTCCCCACTTTCCTGTGGATTTTCCCCCTGCTTTTTTTTCCCAGTTTCCTGTGGATCTTCCACCTGATTTTTTCCCTCTTTCCCATGGATTTTCCCCCTTGTTGTTTTCCCTCTTTCCCATGGATTTTCCCCCTGTTTTTTTCCCTCTTTCCCATGGATTTCCCCCCTGGTTTTTTCCCCATTTTCCCCTGGATTTCCCCCCCGTTTTCTCCCAGTTTTTCCCACATTTCCCTGCGTGTTTTGCAGGTGCAGCAGTTGGTGCCCAAGTTTCCCCTGGATTTTCCCCCTGGTTTTTTCCCCATTTTCCCCTGGATTTTCCCCCAGTTTTTCCCACATTTCCCTGTGTTTTTTGCAGGTGCAGCAGTTAGTGCCCAAGTTTCCCCTGGATTTCCCCCCCGTTTTTCCCCAGTTTTTCCCACATTTCCCTCCATGTTTTTTGCAGGTGCAGCAGTTGGTGCCCAAGTTTCCCCTGGATTTTCCCCCTGGTTTTTTCCCCATTTTCCCATGGATTTTCCCCCAGTTTTCCCTCTTTCCCTAGATTTCCCCTGGTTTTTCCCCATTCCCCTGGTTTTTCCCCAGTTTTCCCACATTTCCTCCATGTTTTTGCAGGTGCAGCAGTTAGTCCCAAGTTTCCCTGGATTTTCCCCCTGTTTTTTCCCCATTTTCCCATGGATTTCCCCCCTGGTTTTTTCCCCATTTTCCCATGGATTTTCCCCCAGTTTTTCCCACATTTTCCTCCCTGTTTTGCAGGTGCAGCAGTTGGTGCCCAAGTTTCCCCTGGATTTCCCCCTGTTTTTTCCCCACTTTCCCCTGGATTTCCCCCCTGTTTTTTCCCCTCTTTCCCATGGATTTTCCCCCTGTTTTTTTCCCTCTTTCCCATGGATTTCCCCCCTGTTTTTTCCCCACTTTCCCCTAGATTTCCCTGCCGTTTTCCCCCAGTTTTTCCCACATTTCCCTCCATGTTTTTTGCAGGTGCAGCAGTTGGTGCCCAAGTTTCCCCTGGATTTTCCCCCTGTTTTTTCCCCATTCCCCCTGGTTTTTCCCCCAGTTTTTCCCACATTTCCCTGCATGTTTTGCAGGTGCAGCAGTTGGTGCCCAAGTTTCCCCTGGATTTTCCCCCTGTTTTTTTCCCCATTTTCCCCTGGATTTTCCCCCAGTTTTTTTCCCCATTCCCCCTGGTTTTTCCCCCAGTTTTTCCCACATTTCCCTGTGTTTTGCAGGTGCAGCAGTTGGTGCCCAAGTTTCCCCTGGATTTTCCCCCTGGTTTTTTCCCCTCTTTCCCCTGGATTTTCCCCCTGGTTTTTTCCCCATTTTCCCATGGATTTTCCCCCTGGTTTTTTCCCCATTTTCCCCTGGATTTCCCCCCTGGTTTTTCCCACATTTCCCTGTGTTTTGCAGGTGCAGCAGTTGGTGCCCAAGCGGGACCAGGCGCTGCAGGAGGAGCAGAGCCGGCAGAATTCCAACGAGCACCTGCGGAGGCAGTTCGGCAGCCAGGCCAACAGGGTGGGGCCCTGGATCCAGACCAAGATGGAGGTGAGGGATCCACAGGGATCCACAGGGATCCAGGGGGGCTGGGAACGCTGGGAACAGCCCCGGGAATGACGGGAGGGACCCCTTTTCCCAGGAAATCGGGCGGATCTCCATCGAGATGAACGGCACCCTGGAGGACCAGCTGAGCCACCTCAAGGAGTACGAGCAGAACATCGTGGAGTACAAACCCAACCTGGAGCTGCTGGAGCAGCAGCACCAGCTCGTGCAGGAGGCCCTGATCTTCGACAACCAGCACTCCAACTACACCATGGAGGTGGGATTTGGGAGCTGGGATCATCCCACAGGGATTTGGGGTCATCCCATGAGGATCTGGGGTCATCCCACGGGGATCTGGGGTCATTGAGGGGCAGGGAAGGATCCGGGAGGGATCCTGGGATGGGCAGGAGGCCCCTGATCTTCGACAACCAGCACTCCAACTACACCATGGAGGTGGGAGCTGGGAGCTGGGATCATCCCATGAGGATCTGGGGTCATCCCACGGGGATCTGGGGTCATTGAGGGGCAGGGAAGGATCCGGGAGGGATCCTGGGATGGGCAGGAGGCCCCTGATCTTCGACAACCAGCACTCCAACTACACCATGGAGGTGGGAGCTGGGAGCTGGGATCATCCCATGGGGATCTGGGGTCATCCCACGGGGATCTGGGGTCATCCCATGGGGATCTGGGGTCATTGAGGGGCAGGGAGGGATCCTGGGATGGGCAGGAGGCCCCTGATCTTCGACAACCAGCACTCCAACTACACCATGGAGGTGGGATTTGGGAGCTGGGATCATCCCACAGGGATTTGGGGTCATCCCATGAGGATCTGGGGTCATCCCACGGGGATCTGGGGTCATTGAGGGGCAGGGAAGGATCCGGGAGGGATCCTGGGATGGGCAGGAGGCCCCTGATCTTCGACAACCAGCACTCCAACTACACCATGGAGGTGGGATTTGGGAGCTGGGATCATCCCAGTGGGATCTGGGGTCATCCCACGAGGATCTGAGATCATCCCATGGGGATCTGGGGTCATCCCAGTGGGAACTGGGACCATCCCATGGGGATCTGGGTCCATCCCACGGGGATCTGGGATCATCCCACGGGGCTCTGGGTCCATCCCAGTTGGATCTGGGACCATCCCAGTGGGATCTGGGTCCATCCCACAGGTATCTGGGATCATCCCAGTGGGAACTGGGACCATCCCAGTGGGCTCTGGGTCCATCCCATGGGGATCTGGGACCATCCCATGGGGATCTGGGATCATCCCAGTGGGAACTGGGACTATCCCATGGGGATCTGAGTCCATCCCATGGGGATCTGGGACCATCCCAGTGGGAATTGGGACCATCCCAGTGGGATCTGGGACCATCCCAGTGGGCTCTGGGTCCATCCCAGTGGGATCTGGGACCATCCCACGGGGATCTGGGTCCATCCCAGTGGGCTCTGGTTCCGTCCCAGTGGGCTCTGGGACCATCCCAGTGGGAA